CATACAGTTCCCATTATCCATCAAAACATTAAACTCATCACAGATCACTTTTTCCAATTTCAACAACAACGGTAGATTTTACAAACTTTCTTACGACGTAAATAGGAAGAAATTCGGTCTGTTGTAAGTAGCAAGACCTTATTCTATGAACCTACACGGCCTTATATAAATAATGAAGGCGCGTTCATTTTATCTAGCCGTGTTTTTCCACTTTTGGCCGCGATAACACGGCCAACACGGCCCTCTAGCTAAGACCCTGCTGTTAGGTCCGAAACTGGATTTTCTTGCGCAGTACAGATATTTTTTTATATTATTTCAAAATATGATTCACACCGTCATTTTCGCACGCAATTTCGCAAATTATTAACACAATTGACTACAGTCAACATACATACTACATAGATTAGAGCCCATTGATCAATAAAAGTTGGGTTTTTTTAAAATAAAAAATAAAAAAAAAACCTGAGCGGGGCCTTTTTTGTGGGCGGGCGTGGAAGCTAACCAACTATTTTTTTTTATGTGGCCTTACAGAATTTTTTTAAAATTGGTCAGATAGTGTATTGTACTATAAGAAAATGTTTTCTGAAATAAAAAATGGGGGTAACCGACCTTTTTTTAAAGTAAAATGCGTTCCAAGCCAAAATATCTTGAATCGTCATTGAATCGTCATTGCCATCTTGAATCGTCATTGTTGCCATAGCAACAGTGGTGACGTCACTTTTCTGAGCAATTTTCGACTGTTTGATTGTCGCTGTATATATAATATACAAATGTCGATTTGTAAAGAGCATCATCTCTTCAAAAAGGTGATCTAGTTTACACATTTTCAACATTTCTATAAACTGTAGCGAGCCACCTTAATTCAAAATTTTTTGCCCTTGTTTTGGCGAATTAAGGTCCCGGAAAAAATTTTCGGAAACAAAATATTAATTAGTGATTGCCCTTACGTCAACATTGCCCCCCTGTGCCCTACTCTCGCTCCGGCATCCCTGATATAATTTTTTTGTGCAATGAAATCTACAACACTTGTCAATCATATTGCATGACTGTGTCTAAAAATAACATGTGGGCATCCCACGGTCTAGACAGGTTTTGTGTCATGAATTTCAGGTTAGTCATGTGCTAGATATTAACCCATTATAAGTTGCATTGGACCCCAATTTACCCTACTTTCCTATTTTGCTCTAACGCCAGGGTTTTTTTCCGGATTTTCTCTTGGGTCCGTTTTTGCAGAGAAGATTGAGTTTAGCTGAACAGCTGGGGTGGCTGCACCCCCCCCCCCACCTAACGGGGGCTGACACCTGTACTCAATAAATGTAGTTGAGAGTTGAGATGGAATGTGTTAAAGCAGGGGCACTAATGAACACTATAAACTGGTTAAAGATGGCGAATGCATAGTTTTTCTTGTGTTGTGAGATGAATTCCAGCCATTTTTTCTTAATTGTTGGGCTTCCAACTG